CTTGTGTGCATCCCTCCACTTATTAAATCTTCGGTGGGGGCGTAAGCAGCAACCACCATTCCTCACCTCTTGTTGATATGGAGGGGAACCAACAGTAGCCTGGAACTTACAGCTTCCCACACCTCACTGGCATACTTCCAGACACCTTAATTATTTTGTTCAAAAGAAGTGCCACTCCCTGTTGTTTGGTAGTTTCCTGCCCTGAGTGGAGAATTGTCCACCCTTCACGGTGACTGGAGCTAGAACCGGTCCTCCAGACCTCCTGAATTCACAGAGGTCCAGGCGGTACTGGTCCATCTCCCGACAGAGGAGTGGCAGACTCTCCTCCACAACAAGATTCCGAACATTCCACGTGGCCAATCTCAGGGTTCTCTTGTTCCTGGGGGAATCCTGGGAGGGGGGAGGGGGGGTTCAGTCTGGCTCTGCCAGATTAAGTTTGGCCCGAAGGCGTAATAAACAAGTTGATTTCGGTTTTTCCACCGTGTTGCTTGATAGGAAAAGTGCCGGGTGGAGAGGTTACCAGCTATGGCTGCAAGTTTGGTCGTACATGTTATGTATATTGTTTATTGTTAAATTTGAATCAGTTCTTATGATTACTATTTTGGTGATTTCCAAAACATATGTTTAAGCCATTTTTCTTGCGGAAGTGCGGAGTTGGTCTGCAAACTTTAATCTAAATTGTCTTATGGTTGTTATTGTTTGACTTGCATCACACTGGGATTTTTACACACAGCGTTGTAATACGGTGTTTTTTAAAAAGAAGATGTGCTGGTTTATCCAGGATGTTTCTGTTGTGCGTCGTCGCTTTAAGATGTTCTCTGTTCATATTTTGTTTGTTGCGGTTGCACCCGACTCAAGAGTCGCATGGCTGACAGGGCTATACCTAATAAATGAAACTTGAAAACCAGCCCCTCGCACGCACTAATCAACACCACTACGACGACCGCCACCACCACCAGTACTCTCAGCACCACTATCACCACCACCACCACCACGAGCACTGTCACCACCAGAATCACTACCACCACTACCACCACCACTTCCATAACCATCATAAACCAAAACCACGACCACCACCAGAACCACCACTACAGGTGTCGTGTCTGCTCGTTTATTTTGAGTCTCTCAGCCGAGGGAGTGAACAACAATAATAATATCATCATCATCGTCAACAACACCAACAACAAATATCAACATCATCAATGACAGCATCGACAACAATGACCGTAAACCACATCAATAATCAACATCAACATCATCGACAACAACAGCATCAGCAACATTTAACAACAATAATATAAATGACAACAATCAACAACAAAATAACAATAACAACAGTCTGATTCACAATTGAGTGAGGCTCAGTTGGGAGACCCCGCCCCTCCCCCCACTCGTCTCCCCCCCACTCGTCCCCCACTCGTCCCCCACCCCTCTTCAGCTCGTCGAGGGCCCTCTCCTTATCCCACTCCTCCCCCTCCACCCCCCTACAGTGAGTGGGGGCTAGGGCTGAACGATTTGGGGAAAATATCTAATTGCGATTTTTCTGACATATTGCGATTGCCATTTGATTTGCGATTACATTTTTTAAAGTCAAGCTTCAGTTCAACATTCACTGTGTAATAGATTTAAAACATGTGATGGAGCATTACCACATGATACCATCAAAATATGAACTGCTCGAAATATTCTAATGCAAGGATGAGAACTTAAAATATATGAATTGCTTCCAACATGTATTTATTAAAATGTTTAAATTGAAATAGAACAAAAAAATAGAACAATTGTTAAGTTAAATAAAAAAAAGTTATAATAATGAAACAATTTCAATAAGAAAGTAATAGGACTTTTCAAATCGCAAAAAATCGCAGCCTTTGCGATTTGCTAATCGTTTTGTTTCAAATTGCGATTTGAAATCGATTAATCGTTCAGCCCTAGTGGGTGGCCCCTCCTCCCCCTCCACTCACCCCCCCTCCAGCTTGTGGGAGGCCCCTCCCCATCCCCCTCCCCTCATCCCCCTTCTCCTCGACCCCCCCCCCCCCAGCGGGTGCGGGGCCCCTCCCTTCTCCCTCCCCTCCTTCCACCCCCTCCAGCTCGTGGGGGGTCCCCCCGCCCCACCCCACCCGTCCCCCCCACTTCAGCTCATGGGAAGCCCCTCCCCGCTGCCCTCTACACACTCCTCCACCCCCGGCATCCCTCCCCCTCCAGCTCGTGCGGGACCCCTCCCCCTCCTCCACCCATCCTCCCACCCCCCCTCCTCCAAGGTGCTTTACGCAGAAGGATGTCGTGGTGGAGATGAGCAGGAATGAAATAGATGAGAGGAAGCGATGGGTGGCAAATCTCTGTTGCGTGATATCAGTGAAAGCGAAATTGATGACTGTAAATGATGACGAACGGATCGAATTAACGAATGGGGTTAATGAGTGATAGCAGTATGATGAGAATTATTATTTCGACAGTGAATGATGATGAACGGAATGAATGAATGGGTTTAATGAGTGACAGCCTTATAATTATTATTTTGATAGTAAATGATGAACGGATCGAATGAATGAATGGGGTTAATGAGTGATAGTCATATGATAATTATTTTTAATCTGGCATACAATTATGATGAATGGATCGAATGAATGGGGGTTAATGAGTGATAGCAGCATTAATGAGAATATCAAGAGGGAACAGTAACGGTGGCAGATATGAGGGGGAGATTAAGGGGGGGGGGGGGGACGGACGTGGGTAAGCAAGGGGCAACAATCATTGAGTTTTGAGTGAGGAGCGGAAACCAGGTAAGCGAAGGTGACCACTTCATGTGGAGGGGGAAATTCCTTCCAGTGATGGTTTGGTGGGGCAAGAAGAGAGACCGAGAGTGAAAGCGCGGATTGAGCGCAAGGAGGAGGAGAAGGAGGAACAGAGAGAGAGAGAGACGGCAAAGGTTGTGAAGTAGAGAGGGCGAGTAGGCAGCACATAGAGAAAGATACACGCGCATGGCAAGGTACGATGGGGGCCAAGACCATGGAGGGATTTGTCGAGCAGAGTGAGGAATTTGACAAGGCAGCGGCCGTAGACAGGAAGCCTAGAGCAGTTGCACGAAGAGGGAAGAGGTATGAGAATTGTTGGGAACGGTTGAATGCGAGCCGAGCAGAGTTATTTTAGGATTTGTTGAAGGGGGGGGGGGGGGGACAAATGATTGATGGGCAGACCGAGTACGAGAGAGTGGCAGTCGTCCAGGCAGGTATGAGGTAAGGGAATGGATGAGGGGTTTTTTTTCAGCAGTGGTGGCAATAAGCGGTTGGACGTTGCAATCGTTGGACAAAGTGAAACCGGCAAAGCGCGGCAGGCAGTGGCAGAAATGTCATCGGCGAGGGAGAGGGAAGAGTCAAAGACAGCGCGAATGTTGCGGGCACAGAAAATATGGGACATAGAGAAGGGAGGGAAAGACATGGTGGGACGGGGAGGAGGGGAACGGGATGCATGGAAAAATATAATTTGAGTCCTGGAAGGTTTGAGGTACAGAAAGTGACGTAGACACCAGAGATTGGATAGAAACCTGGCAGGATGAGCTCAGCTCAGTTCCGATGAGATGAGATGCGGGGGGGCGCAGTCAGGGAAAGGAGAAGAAAATGTGGATGCCACCTGCGAAATGATGGGGAAACTTCAGCGAAGAAAGGAGAGATACAAGCATTGTGATGTAGAGAAAGAGAGAGGAAAGTCGGGGACCAAGAACTGACCAAAGGGAAAGACCGACAGTGAATGGGGGGTTGGGAGGGGGATTGGCAATGATTGAATGAGACCACAGAGGTGTGCACTGAGAGGGAGATTGGACTGTAGCCAGGGAAGTGGTGTGCCAAAGATTAAAAGAGAAGGGAGAGAGTAGAGAAAAGAGTAGGAGAGGATTTGCTTGAGTGGCACAACAACGGCTGGCTTATATATTGCAGGAAAGACACCAGTGGAGAGGGAGGAATTTAATAGGGACACTCGGTAGTGGAGAATTAAAGGAAGGAGTCGGGGGTTAAAGGGAAGTAGGGATGAGATCGAGGGGAGAGGAAATGGAGATGGGCCTTAGAGATGTTAGAGGAGAGTTCAGTAATAGAAGTTGCAGGAGAAATGATGAAAGCAGAGTCATTATGGATTTGATATGGAGGACAAGGCTGCTGAGGTGAGCTCGGGGAACAGGAGGATAGTATGGCAGAACGAAGAGAGTCGCGAGAGCTAAAGGGGCAAGGGAAGGGTAAGATTGGGTTGGGGTAGGAGGCTGGAGAAGGTTGTTGAGAGTAGAGAAGAGGTGAGGGCGGGGGAAGAGATGAGAGCCAGGGGATAGTCTTGTTTCTCAAGTTGTAGGGCGTGTTGGAATTGGGGAAAGGAGTGGAGTGGTAGGAGGAAAGGTTCTGGAGTGAAGGAGTAGACTTCGAAAGCCTTTCAGTTTTACGTAGGTGTCGCCGCTCCGAGTGAAGCAATGGAGTGAGGTCGTGGAGGATTAGATATGAGGGGGAGTAGAGGTGGATGGGAGCTATGAGGTCGAGAGAAGAATAAAGGTACTTAGAGAGTGTGGAGGAAGCTAAGGCAGGGCTGCAAGGAGGATAATTCGGAAAAAGGAGGAAGGAGATGAGGAGATTACAAGCGGTTATAGAGCCAGTTTTAAGGGAGCGGAGATTGCAGTTCAGAATGGGATGAGCTGCCATCAGAGCGTGGATAGTTGGGGGAAGGTTGAGAAATAGAGAGGCAGAGGCGGAGGTGATCGGAGGGCTGGGAGGGGGGACGTAGTGATAGAGGAGGCGGCTTTGCTGCCGGAAATGAAGATGAGGTCCAGGGTGTTACCAGGGGTGGGAGTAGGGGGGAGAAGTTGGAGGTCAAACGAGCTCGTGAGGAGAAGGAGGGCCGATTTAATGGGTGGGCGACTAACCTGCAGATTAAAGTCTCCAGGAAGAATGAAGGGATGAGTGACTGGAAGGACTGAGGAGTCGGCCCCTCCCACCCCTCCCCCCCGCCCCGCCCCTCCACTCCGCCCATCTTTCCTGCCGGCCCAACGAGCTAATGGGGGGCCCCTCCCCCCACCCCGTCCATGCTTCCTCTCCTCCTCCGCCTGCAGGGGAAGACTATGGCAGCATAGCCGGCACCGGCCATGAGGCTGAAGGCTGCCGAGGCCCAGGCGCTGCTGAGCGACCATGCCAGGTAGAGGCGGCCCCAGCGGGGTGGTGCGGGGGGGACCTGTGAGGGGGAGAGGGAGGGGAGGGGGAGGGAGTCCCCCACATCCACCCCCACACCTCCCCCCATTACCACCCCCACGGCGGCCTCGCGGGAGATGCAGCGGCTCATGAGGCCAGCGGAAAGGAGGACCAGGAAGCCTGGGGTGGGGGGGGGGAGAGATGGGGGCGGGGAGTTGTGTAGAAGGAGAAATGGGGGGGGGGGGGGGTGGGGAGACAAGGGAGATGGGGAGAGAGATAGGGAGGGAGATGGAGGGAGATGGGGGTTGAAATGGGGAGATGGGGGGAGATGGGGAGACAGGAGGAGGGGGGAAGTGGGGGGGGATAAACACGTGTTTAAAGTATTTCGCTGCAACTTTATGTAATGACAATAGAGCCAGCATGCGGTGCGAGGGGACTAGTTGCCACGGGAGAGAATGACAGGGGTATCGGTTGTGAGTATGACGGGACTGGTGGCTACGGGAATATTCGAGGAAGGGAGCGTGGTCAGGTGACGGAAATAGACAGTCGAGTCTACCGGTAGAGGGAGTGTCCAGAGTCAGTGAGAATGATCGAGAAGAGGGGCGTGGCCCCGTGTTGATATACATAATGAAGATGCGCGGGAGACTCGGGGCTGTTGCAGTGGGACAGTCGCCTGATGTCAAGTGTCTTCAATAAAGTGCTACCTCAAGAGAAGTGCGTAAAGTCGTCATTAAATTTACATTTCCACGCGATGATGATTATGATGATGATAATCCGCCACTTTGGTTGAGCTGCTATCATTTGTAATGGCCTGGTCGCTTCTGAAAAAATAGCTACAGAGCTCAGTGGGCCTTACCTGCTAAAATAAAAGAGTTTAGTTTTGGCATGAATCTTTTTGGGTCTCTATGGGGCTGTATAGGTCTTTAAGGGCTGTATGGGTCTCGATGGGTCTCTGGGTCTCGGTGGGTCTCTATAAACATGCGTTTAGAACATTTGGCTGCAACTATACATTTCCACGCGATGATGATTTGTGATGGCCAGGTCACTACCGAAAATAACTACATAGCTAAATAAAAAAAAGTTTAGTTTGAAGTAAAATAGTTCATAAAGGTCTGGAGTAAGGGATCCAGTGCAGCATTTGCAGCTGCGTGTGTGTAGTAAAACGAGCGTGTAAAGTGACAGTGCACCTAGCCTGGCACGTGCTGACTGGCTGGGGTGGTGTTACCTGCGCACAAGTAAGCCATGGCTGTAGGGCGCAGCAGGGAAATCTGCTGCCTGTAGAGAGTGAAGCCAACTCCAATGGCACCCAGACCCATCAGAGCCAGGCTGAGCACCGCCGATAGCACAGCAACAAGGCTGCACCCTGCACCGAGACACACACACACACACGCAGACGACCCAGACACACACACCGACATACAGACAAAGATCCGCATTGTAGCCTTAACATACTGTTGGGGCGAATGGTATTAGCAAGTGGCACCTATGAAGACACACACAGACTAATAAACAAACAAAGATCCCCTGTGTCGACTTACCAGACTGTTGGGGTCTTTGTGCGAGTCTGTGAGTCATACTTGTAGGTATGTAAATGTGTATGCATACCTCTCTCATTAGTCTATGGGTCTATGTATTTCTATGCGGGTCTCTGTGAAAGTCTTTGGGTCTCTCTGTGGTGAGTCTATTGGTCTCTGCGTGGCGATGTGGCTCTCTGTGTGAGTCTGTGAGTCATACTCACATGTATGTGTGTATATATGTGTGTGAGTGTACCTCTTTCATGACTCTATGGGTCTCTGTGGGAGTCAGTGGCTCTCTGTGTGAGTTAATGGGTTTCTCTGTGGCTTTGAGGGTCTCTGTGTGGCTAGACTATGGGTCTCTGGTGAGTCTATGGTTCTGTATGGCTGTGCGGGTCCTCGTGTGAGTCTGTGTATCTTCGTGTGCGTCAATGGGTCTTTGTGTGTGTATGTGTATCTCTGTGTGAGTCTATGGGACTCTGTGAGGTCAATTGCTCTCTGTGTGAGTCAATGGGGCTCTGTGAGTCAGTGAGTCATCCTTGTATGTTTATCTCTGTACCTCTTTTGTGAGTCTATGGGTCTCTGTAGAGGTCAATTGATCTCTGTGTGAGTCAATGGGTCTCTGTGGCTCAGTGAGTCATCCTTGTATGTATGTGTATGTGTGTATCTCTCTCGTCTGGCAAAAACAACCCCCTACCTCCTCGTGGTGCTGGACGGCAATGCTGTGGTGGGCAGTGCTGCGGGGGGAGGGCCAATTTAAATCGGTTTTTCCCCTCATGGTGTTTGTAACCACCACAGTGGCCAAATGGGGGCGCTGGATGGGTGCGAGGTGCTGGTAACCCATCCACCTTCAATTAATTACCACCAAATCACGACTGAAAACTTTAATTAATAAGCTTGTGCTGGAGGCCCCGGGGGGTCAGGCGTCTATGACGTCTCCTGGTCACACCCCATTTGGCGGAGCCAGGAGACTGAAAAAACAAAAAAACACTACGTGTGGCCACGTGGAATGTTTGAACTGTCACTGCGGAGGAGAGGCTAGCACTTCTGTGTCGGGAGCTGGACCGGTACTGCCTGGATCTCTGTGGTATTCAGGAGGTCTGGTGGACCGGTTGTGGCTCCTGCCACTATGAGGGGTGGACAGTCCTCTTCTCGGGACAGGAGACTACCAAACAACAGGGAGTGGCTCTTCTTCTGAACAAAAGAATGAAGGGGCGTGTAATCGTGGCGGTGAGGTGTGGGAAGCTGTAAGCTACTTTGGGCTCGCCTTCCCATAAACCAGAGGCGAGAAGTGGTGGTCGTGGTTATTTATGCCCCCACCGAAGACGATCATCCGTGGAGGGATGCAGGCAAGGTTGATTAGTCAGATTCCTTCAATGTCCTCCTGTCACAAGTGCTTGCTAAATTGGCACCTTGGGATCGAGTCATCTTGTTGGGTGACTTCAATGCCCGAGTTGGTCATGATGCTGGCACATGGTCTTAAATTATTGGAAGGCATGGGCCAGATCAGCTCAATAACAACGGCAGGAGGCGGCTAGATTTTGGAAGCCCATGGGCTTGTAATTACAAACACGCTTTTCCAGCATCGGCACATCCACACAACATCATGTATGCATACCGGGTCCAGGCAAGAACATCTGCTGGACTACATAGTGATGGAACAGTGGATGTGGGCCCAAGTCCTTGAGACCAGGACCTGCTGTGGAGCTGATCTGCCCACTTACCATCAACTTGTCATCGATAAGATGCGCCTGCCATACATCCACTACGGTGGTGGGTGTACACCCAGGACCCCATTCAAACCCTTAGTGGCATGGTCTCAGCTAACTGATGAACGCTGCAAGCGAGAATTTCATCAACACTTGCGGCTGGGGTTGGCATCGTCCCCCACTCCTCTTGATGTCGAAGGGAAATGGGCGAGGTTTAGGACTGTGGCTCATTCAGCTGCAATGGCTGCTTTGGGTACACGGTAAAGACCTCCCCAGAGACCCTGGCTGACAGAGAAGGTGTTCAGGCTGGCTGAGAAAAAGCCACAGGCCCATTCTCATTGGCTACAGCATCCCACGTCAGAGAATAAGGAGGCTTACCGCAGCCTTCGCTCATTGGTTCGGAGAGCCGTGAGGTGCTGCAAGGATGGGTTTTGGTCGGGGGTTGCTGAGGAGATGGAGTCTGCCTCAATGGCCCGCGATCACAAATCGCTATTTATTTCCATTAAAAAACTTTGCAGAGCATTTCTGTGAGGTCCTGGGGGAGGGGAAATCCCTCAGCCTGGAAAACCTCGTGACACAAAGTGGGGATGACCCTGCCGAGTCTGCGGTGCCTCAAATATTGGAACAAGAAGTCACCCTCTGTAAGAGGCTGGATGAGGTGCCATCTGTTGAGGAAGTACTGAAGGCGATATGGAGTCTGAGACCAGGAAAGTCACCGGGCAAAGATGATCTCCCAAGTGAAATGCTGAGGGAGGGTGGCGTTTGTGCACAGACTGCCCTGCATGACATCATAACAAGTCTAGACCACTGGACGCATTCTGCAGGATTAGAAGTATGCCCTGGTGGTCCCCCTCTTTAAGAAGAGGGACCGCACAGACTGTAACAGCTACAGGGGCATCTCACTCCTCAGTATGCTGGGAAAGGTCCTGGCAAGAATTATTCAGCATCGCCTTGCTAGGCACGCTAAGGAGAGGCTTTCCAAGCCCCAATGTGGTTTCAGGAAAGGGCACTCCTGCACAGATGCCATATTTTCTGTCTGTCTTCTACAGCAGAGGTGTAGGGAATTCCAACAACATCTACATCTCTGCTTTATTGACCTGGTCAAGGCCTATGATAACATCAGTAGGCCTGGGCTCTGGGTTGTTCTTCATGCTTTCGGATTCCCTAACCCTCTGCTTACGATCATTAAGGACCTTCATGATGGTGAGCGGGCCCGGGTAAAACTAAGTGGCCGGGAGTCGGAGCCATTCCCTGTACACCTTGGGGTGCGACAGGGATATCCTCTGGCTCCCACATTACTTAACATCTATTTCGACCACGTAGTTCGTGAAGCCTTCAATAGCTATATAATGGGAGGCTGATCGATGCCTGCATGCGGTCAAGTGATTGCTATTGCTCAACCATGTTATGTATGCCGATGATCGTAATTGCTGCTCAATCAGAGGAGGAGTTGGAGGCGCTGCTGCTGAACCTGGAGCTTGCCACTAAGAGTTGGGACATTATATTCTTGGTTCTTTCAGTAAAGTCACGTAGAAGGGAAACAATAAAAATATAAAACAATATTCTCACGACGTTTCCACTGCAACACAAGCAACCATCAGGTGTGAAAACCACAGCAAGAAAATTTGAAAAAGTGGGACCCCACCAAAACTAAGCACCTGCCTGTGTATGTTGTACCATCGGAGAACTCCACCCCCATAACTCCCAATTGGTGATAGGGCAGTTGTGGAGAGAGTGGAGAGTTTCCCATACCTGGGCAGTGTGCTCATGACCGGCTCCGGTTTAACGGCAGAGGTCTCACTCTGAATCAGTCGAGCGGCATTATCCTTTCATCGGTTGCATAACGCTGTGTGGAAGCCACCTGGTCTGTCGCTCCGCACGAAGCTTCAGGTCTTCTTGGCCACAGTCATTCTCTCCCTTCTCTACGCTTGCGAAACGCAGACCCCTCTAATGGAACATCTTCGCTGGTTAGAAACATTTCGGCTAGCCTGCCTACGGGTTTAACCAGGCTGGGTTGTGTGAGGAGCTCACAAATCCTTGAAAGATCTGGACAAAGTCCCATCGGTGAGCTCCTCCGGCAGGCAAGGCTGCGTTGACTAGGTCATGTAGCCCGCATGCCCAGTCACCGCATGCCTAAATAGCTTTTGTTCGGCCGGATGAGGGGGCTAAATGGGCGCAGCACGGGCTAGAGAAGAGATGGAGTGATGTGGTACAGGATAATATGGAGCTGAGTGGACTTGCCGATGACTGGGACCAGCGGTGTCAAGATCGGCCTCTGTGGAGGAAGCTCGTTAAGGACGCTACTTGGCAGTTGGAGGCAGTCGCTCTCCAACAACAACGGAGGGCGACGCTCACAACAACGAGCGTCGTGGTGACGTCACCGCCACTTTGTGGCGAATGGCGGTTGTTTTTGTCGTTGTTGTTGTAACTCTCTGCTGAGTCTATGGTTCTCTGTGTGAGTCAATGAGTACTGAATGAGTCTGTGATTAATCATTGTATGTGTGTGCATACCTCTCTCGTGAGTCAGGTCAAATCCACCCGTCTCCTCCTCCCAGCGTGTGAAGTGTCTGAAGTAGGAGCAGTTGAATTCTGTGTCCACACAGACACAGACAAAGCTCCCCCGTGAAGCCTTGACAGACTGTTGGGGCAAGTGCTGTTAGTATCGAATAGCAGCAGCACACCTGAAGGCCGGCACTGTGGCACACGAGGGGGCTGGGTGGCCAGAGCCATGGCTGGTCGCCTTGTCTCTCCCCCAGTGGCGATGTTTACTACCCACCACTGCCACTAGGTACTCATTTCAGGCTGAGTGCACCTATAGGGGAGGCCCATGACTGGTTCGTATAATCAACACCGATATTGGCCGTGAGCGTAAATCTAACTCGGGTCTCTGTCAGGTTCATCGCGCAATGTGCTAATCTAGATTTAAAGCTTTCGTGACTGCAAGGATCCATACTCTTTGGTTCTATTCGGTAAAGTCACGTAAAAAACGTGACTGTACATCGTTCATCATGCTAAGTCCGCCAATTAAATGCGAATTTTTATGCTAATTCCTTTGTCAAGGCGCTCTGCTTCCTCTCACACAGCTTAAAGGTCGCGGTCTGAGCTTGGCTGTGTTCAATCCAGCGCTGTCCTCTAGACAGTCTGGTCCCTTCACCTGATGAAGGCCACTTGTGTTGTGGCCGAAACGTCGTGAATTTTTTATTTTTTGTTGTTTTTTACATGACTTTACCGAATAGAACCAAAGAGAATGTGTTAACCGCTACACTTCCAATCACTACTGTGCGAGGGGGTGGGTGGCCAGCACCACGCCCGGCCGCCTTTGCCTTCCTAGCTGTGATGTTTACACACCGCCCCACGTGACTCATATGAGTCTGAGTCGACCTAGTTGAAAAGGCCCAGGACCGGTTCGGATAATCGTCACCGGTATTGGCCGTGAGAGGATATCGAATTCGGGTCGCCGGGGGTTTGTAGCACAGTGGCACTGCATACGGGCGCAATCAGTGTATTTAATTCCCCTTTTAAAATGCGTAGGGTACTTTATAACAACTCCTCCATCTTTAAATTTTTAGCTCTTTCGGTAAAGTCACATTGAAAGAGCTAAAAATATGAATTACTGCAGTCACTAAAGCTTTAAATCAAAATTTAACTCCTCCATCATATATAATCAAATCAAAGCAAAAATTATCTCAACGTATCCAAAGGGAATTAAGTTCGCTATTGTTTTATTTTCTGTAGCTTCTCTTCAAAAGGGTAAATCATGGAGTGTGTGTGTTCAGATTCACAGGATACATAACGGAGGTTTGGGAATCTATTACTGGTAATGTTCATAATAAAGGTTTTTGGGTTAGATCGCGTTATTTATAAATGTGTCGTAACCCTCCACCACCTGACACGGCCAATCAGCAAAAAAAGTGTCACGTTGACAAAAGACAAATAGTTCACTACTTTAGCCCACCGGTGTGTTGAAGAGTGAATCCACAACATTTACAGTTTGAGTACGACGTTTCGCTGGTAATTACATCCAGCATCATTGGGCAATTCGCCAGAATGGTGTCGGGTGGTGGAGGGTTACGACACATTTATAAATAACGCGATCTAACCCAAAAACCTTTATTATGAATAATATTGGTCGCGAAAGCCTACATGTTATACTGCTAATGTTATTAACAGTTAATTTAGTCATTAATTAAAATGGATATCTATTACTGGTTGGGTTATTCACAGTTAACATAGTCATGTATTAACAATGGGTGTCTATTACTGGTTGGGTTATTGCTAATGTAGTCAAGAAATAACAATAGATATCTATTACTGGTGTGGTTATTCATAGCTAATATAGTCATGAATTAACAATTGGTGTCTATTACTGGTTGGGTTATTCACAATTCATTACTTAGGTCAGCGTGTGTGTTTGTTATAGATTTGAAGCTTTCGTGACTGCAAGGATCCATACTCTTTGGTTCTATTCGGTAAAGTCACGTAAAAGTATAAAACAACAAAAAATAAAAAAATTCACGACGTTTCGGCCACAACACAGGTGGCCTTCATCAGATGAAGGGACCAGACTGTCTCGAGGACAGCACTGGAGTGAACACAGCCAAGCTCAGACTGCGACCTTTAAGCTTGTGCGAGAGGAATTAAGGTGCCTTGACAAAGGAATTAGCATAAAAAAAGCATTTCATTGGCGGACTTATCATGATGAACGGTGTAGAGGGGGTGAACATGTGCAGACCGGCGAGGGGGGGAGGGGGAGTTTACATATTGATGGTGTGAAAAAGGAATTTAAGCAGCTGCGAAAGTTTGGGGTACCACTACTTGAAAAAATATACTGTATCATTGAAAATTAGTTTAATGTTTGGTTCGATTTAGAACATTTTTCCAATGGTTGCTTAATTTGAAACCATCTTCTCGGTTGAAATTGTGTCTGTGTTTGTAAATCTGAATTGCCTCGTGAACGAATCTCTGATAAAACCCGTGGGTTTGCAAAGAACCTTGGTATCGGAGAAAATTATATCGTGATCACCCACAGCGTTGTAACAGTGATCAGCTACGGCAGAAGAATTCGTTCTGCCGTGTTTCAAATCTGATTTGTGCTCGCGAATTTGGTCAGAGACATGTCGCTTTGTCTCCCCGATATAGCAATCACCGCAGGTACAACTCAAACTAATTTTCAATGGTACAGTATATTTTTCAAGTAGTGGTACCCCAAACTTTCGCAGCTCTTAAATTCCCTTTTCACACCATCAATAGGGAAACTCCCCCCCCCCCCCGCGCCAACCGGCATATGCACTTGCATGTACACCACCTCTATGCTAAGTCGGCCAATCAAATGCTATTTTTTATGCTAATTCCTTTGTCAAGGCACCTTGTTTCCTCGCACACAGCTTAGAGGTCGCGGTCTGAGCGTGGCTGTGTTCCACTCCAGTGCTGTCCTCGAGACAGCCTGATCCCTTCACCTGATGAAGGCCACTTGTGTTGTGGCCGAAACGTCGTGATTTTTGTTGTTTTATTTTTTACCTACGTGACTTTACCGAATAGAACCAAACAGTATGGATCCTTGCAGTCACGAAAGCTTTAAATCTACGTGTTGTATGTACGTGTTGTGTGTGCGTGTTGTCTGTGTGTGTATTGTCTGTGTATATTGTGTGCTGTGTGAGTGCTGGAGAGTTTTAAACAGTACAAAACAACAGCAATTTAAAATTTGCAGTGCTAGAAAGGAATCCTTAATAAGCTGCTCCAAATTATTGATGTCATAAATCTCGCTTTCACCAAATCCACCATCACCACTACCATTTGCTTCCCCTCATCACTTTCATTAACCTCATCTCCACCATTAAATTCAAAGACAAAGATCCCCCGTATTGCCTTAACAGACTGTTGAGGTAAGTGCTGTTAGCGAGCACCTATGAAGGCCGGAACGGCACACGAGGGGGTGGGTAGCCAGCATCACGCCCGGCCGCCTTTGTCTGCCCAGTGGCGATGTTTACAATGTTTAAGACTTTATGTGAACGAAAGACACAAATGCACACGTTTTCTCATTTGAAATAAGTAAATTTCAAAATATCAATGTTCTGGTCAAAAAAGCAAAGCTTATGGGGAATAATAGCCATTTTCTATACTTTTGAGGCGTAAGTAATTAGGAAATAACACTTACTAACCAGGAACGAAACAAGATTTGTTACACTATAACCGCTGTCTGGTGTTGGGAGTCCATGAGTGGGAATTGGGTCTCTGCCGGGTTCGTAGCGCAGCGTAGCGCTAACCACTACTACACTACCGCTCCCCATCAATCCATGTCACGCACACACGTCGTCGTTGGTGTTGTATCATTGTTAATTCTTCGTAAGGTGACCTGGGTTAATGCGCTATGAGATGAAAAGTGACTTTGTGAATCACGGTAGCTGGATTGAAAGGCAGTGTAAAGCAGCGAGTGATGGGATTGCTGGAGGGAGAGTCACAGATTTATTGAGATAACGAGCTGGAGTGGTAAGTCCATGGAGCTGTTAGTCCATACCAGTAGTAGACAATGTGCCTAAGGCCTACTCACTCACCCACACACTCACCCATCCACTCACCCAGCCACGCACTCACACACTCACCCATCCACTCACCCAGCCACCTACTCATGCATACACCCACTAACCCACCCACTCACCCATTAACCCACTCACTCACTCACCCACCCACTCACCCAGGCAAAAGACTAACTCCACTCCAATCCCTCATGCTCACCTCCCCTGAAGGTCACGTGACCGCACCCTCTGGCCCCGTCACCCCGCGTCCACGTGTGGCACGCTCGCCACAGCCCCACGTGGGCCAACTCGCACGCGGGGTTCAGCCCCGCGGGGGCCTCGCCCCATTCGGATGATGAAGCACCACCCACTCCTCCGTTGTCATTCGAGGCTCCGCCCACTCTTCCTTTGTTCAAAGAAGCTCCGCCCACTCCATTGTCCCAAACCTCGCCCACCCCTTCGGTGCCGTTACCGCGGGCGCGGAGGTCGGGGTGGAGGTGACGGTCGGGTTCGTGGTTGTGGTTGTCGTGTTGCTGGTGGTGATGGCCCCCGCCAGCGAATCCCGGGCCAAGCAGCACGGCCCAGAAGTCGGTGCCCACGGCGAGGAGCATCAGGGTAGAGCCCACGAGGGCCAGCAGGCCGCACAGCTTCACGAGGCCCTCGGTCGCATCGGAGAGGTGGCCGGGACCCCCACCGCCACCACGCGAGTTGCCCCCTCGGCCTCCCCCGGCTGCGCCTGCCCCCCTGGCCCCAACACCCCCCGCTACCCCGCGGCCTTTGTCAGTCATCATGAGGGCCCCGCCTGCCTGCGGGTGGGACAGGTGGCTGATGTCCTCCTGCCGGAAGAAGTTGGGCCACATCGTGGTGGCAGTGGTAGGGCTATGTGGGTGAGCGAGTTGGTGACAAGCCTCTAGGTGACTGAGGTGGTGGTAGGTCTCTAGGTGACTGAGGAGGTGAAAGATCTCAAGGTGACTGAGGAGGTGGTAGGTCTCCAGGTGACTGAGGAGGTGATAGGTCTCTAGGTGACTGAGGAGTTGAAAGGTCTCTAGGTGACTGAGGAGGTGATAGGTCTCTAGGTGACTGAGGAGGTGATAGGTCTCTAGGTGAATGAGGAGGTGATTGGTCTCTAGGTGAATGAGGTGAGAGGTCTCTCAGTGACTGAGGAGGTGATAGGTCTCTAGTTGACTGAGGAGGCGATAGGTCTCTCAGTGTCTGAGGAGGTGATAGGTCTCTAGGTGAATGAGGTGATAGGTCGCTCAGTGTCTGAGGAGGTGATATGTATCTAGTTGACTGAGGAGGTGATAGGTCTCTCAGTGACTGAGGAGTTGATCGGTCTCTAGTTGACTGAGGAGGGGATAGGTCTCTAGTTGACTGAGGAGGTGATAGGTCTTTCAGTGTCTGAGGAGGTGATAGGTCTCTAGTTGACTGAGGTGATCGGTCTCGAGTTGACTGAGGAGGTGCTTGGTCTCTAGGTGACTGAGGAGGTTATAGGTCTCTCAGTGACTGAGGAGGTGATAGGTCTCTAGGTGAATGAGGTGATAGGTCTCTCAGTGTCTGAGAAGGTGATAGGTCTCTAGGTGACTGAGGAGGTTATAGGTCTCTCAGTGACTGAGGAGGTGATATGTCTCTAGTTGACTGAGGAGGTGATAGGTCTCTCAGTGGCTGGGGAGGTGATCGGTCTCTACTTGACTGAGGAGGTGATAGGTCTCTCAGTGACTGAGGAGGTGATCGGTCTCTAGGTCATTTTTGTTGAGGCCACAACGTCAAGAGTCGAGATCTGGAGGGGGGAACCGATAAAGGAGAGGGAGGGAAGGAGGAAGAGGAGAGAGGAGCGGGAGTAGCAGGAGGACGAGGTAGAGGAGGAGATAGAGGAGGGCAGAGGAGGAGTATCAGAAGGAAGAGAAGGGAGCAGTAGCAGGAGGAGATGGAGGAGGTAGAGGAGGAGATGGAAGAGGAGGGGAGGGAGGAGGAGAACATCAGCAATGTTAGCGTTATGGATGAGCTCGATGAGAACACGGACTCGCCATCGTCACATCCCCCGAGTGGCTACATCAAGAGATTTTTCTGAACCGCCGCACGTCACGTCACAAGACAAGGCGCCGATTGAATCATTAGAATTCTGACGGAAAAATATAGGGCTTTACACCTTTCATTTTACGGCAAATATAATACTACTAATGCTAAGAATACACCTATTTTTTCATATTGATATCGGCAACAACAACAAAATTTTTTTGAAGTGTAACCATTTGAATCGAGCGATTGATTCTTTGATGTGCATGAATTGCCTCCGTTCTGTTTGACCTTTTGGCGTTGTTGATGTTCAGATACCAAATAGGTACTCTATCCATAGATTATAACCTATAGATATAAATGCTTGACCGGAGCTATAAGTGGTTTTGTTCTTTGGAATTGGCTTTGTTATTGTTCGCTTTTTGGCGATGTTCTCTGGTATAACTAACAATGCTTGTGAGACTAGGCAATAAAGAAGGCTGTAGTCTCTAGTGTAGGGCAATGAGTTTCAAAGAAAATGCATACATTATTATTAGTATTATTATCAGAGCGATGTTTATTTGCATGTTTTCCACAAGTTTCTGAGGTTAACATAATACTTGATGCCTTTCAAAACTGGTTATCTATTTGTTGTTTGAAAATCTTAAGACATTTATTAGCCAGAAAATGGTAGGAAAACCTATTATTATTATGTTTTCTGATTTTGGAAAACTGCCAAAAAGGTATCCCCTATATGTAAATTATCAACCCGAACTAAAGGTTTTGATACTTTGCATTGTTTTCGTACTGTTCGCCTTGTAGCCTTCATTGGTCCACTAAGACTGGTAGTGAGACATGACCACAAAGAAAGCTGTAGACTCCGGTGTAGACCTATCAGTTCCAGAGACAATTTTGGAACCACCGCATAATCGTTGGAAGCCGGATATAATCGCGCTCTGGATAATTATTGATGATTTTCTGGAGTAGGAAGCACCAGGCTCATCGCTGGAGCAGCTGCTGCTGTTGATTAGTAATCCAAACGAAAGTTGAATTGTTTTGATCTCTCTCCTCTCTCTCTCCACTCAACTCCCTTCGGGAGCAAGGTGGTGCTGATGGGTTGTGTTAGGTTATCAAATTTACGATAGGTATTACTGCAAATTGTTTACAAAAAGACAAAGACCCGTCGACTCAATCAGGTGGAGAGAAGCAAAGACTCACACGGAGACAGAAAGCCTCACAAGGGTATCTATAGACTCACACGTAGACTCATAGACTCACAGAGAGACACAGAGACTAACACAAAGACCCAGATACCAACACGGGTGTATATAGGCTCAGAAGGAGACTTATAGAATCACACAGAGGACCAAAGACTCAAAATGAGACCGATGGACTCACACAGAGACCTATAAACTGGCACAGAGACTCATAGACTTACACAGACCCAGACCCACAGATTCACAAAGAGACCAAGAGACTCACACGGAGGTATATGGACTGGCAAGGAGACCCATAGACTCACACAAAGACCCATAGACTCACATAGAGATCCATAGACTTACACAGAGACTCATAGACTCACAGGGAGACCTATAGACTGGCACGGAGACACAATTACTCACACAGAGACCCAAAGAATCACACGAAGAGTCATAGACTCATACAGAGACCCATAGACTCACACGGAGATGTATAGACTGGAACGGAGAGCCATAGACGCACACACAGTCCCTTAAACTCACACAGAGGCCCATAGACTCACACAGAGGCCCACGGATTCATACAGAGACCCATAATACAAATATACCCATAGATTCACACTAAGATTCATGGACAGAAAGATACCTCTAGACTCACACAGAGACCAATAGACACCGATATACTCACAAAGATACCCATAAGAGACGCATACAGACACCCATACACTCACAACGATATCGATAGAATGGAACAAACTCTCAATACTCAAATAGAGACACACAGACTCGCACAGAGATGCAGATAATCACACTAAAATCCCATACACAGAGACCCATAGACTTACACACAGCGACCCATAGACTCACACACTTACCCATAGGATATTCCAGAGACATCCATAGACTTAAAATAGGCAGATAGACTCATGCAAAGACCGGCAGACTCATATGGAGATCCATAGACTCACACAGATACCCATAGACACATACAGCGGCCCATAGACGTTTAGATACAAATAGACTCACACAGAGGCATATAGACTCACACAGAGACGGATAGACTCACACACAGACCCATACAATCACACAGAGTGACCCATAGACTCACACACAGAGGTCCATAGACTCACACTTGCAGACCTATAGACTCACACAGGGACCAGTAGACTAACACAAAGACCCAGATGCACACACAGCGACCCATAGATTCGCACACAGACGAATAAAATAATGCAGAGAGAACCGTAGTCTCACACAGGGGCCCATGGACTCATATAGAAACCCATTGACACACAGATACGAATATATTCACACAGTGACCCATAAATATAAATAAACCTTTAGACTCACTCAGAGACCAATATACACCAATACACTCACACGTAGAGGTCCATAGAATCACAACGATACCCATAGAACGGTACAAACCCCAATGACTTAAATAGAGACGCACAAACTCACACATGAACCCATAGAATAAACACTGAAAACCTATACACAGAGACCCAAAGGCTCACCCAGAGACTCATAGACTCAAAAACACAGACCCATAGACTCACACGGAGACCCATAGACTCATACGGAGACCGATAGATCCATACAGATCCCCATAGACTCACACACAGCGACCCATGGATGCACACGGAGACCAATAGACTCACATGGAGACCGAGAGACTTGCAAATAGTCCTGTTGACTCACACAGATATCCATACACTTACAGAGAGACCCAGAGACTCTAATAGAGGTCCATGGACTTACAAAGAGACCAATATACTCACATAAAGACCCATAGATTACACATCGATCCATAGACTCACAAAGAGACCCATAGATTCACACAGAGCCCGACAGATGCATACGGAGAACCACACACTTACACAGAGACCCATAGACACACAAAGTGGCCCGGAGCCACACAAACTCACACGGAGACCCATAGACTCTGACAGAGACCCATAGGCTCACACAGAGATCCATAAACTTACACCCAGAGTCATATAATCACATAGAGAGGCCCATAGACTAACACGGAGACCCATAGACCCACACACAGTCCCATAGAATTACACAGCTCTATATACTTACACAAACATATACGCATAAAGAATCATATGGACTCATATGGAGATCCATAAACTCACACAGAGCCCCGTAGATTCACACACGAGAGCCATAAACTCACACAGAGACCCATAGACCCAGACAGATACCCATAGACTCACACATAGCGATCCAAAGACTCATACGGAGACCAATAGATTCACACGGAGACTGATAGACTCACACATAGTCCTGTAGACTCAAGCAGATATACATACACACACTACAAAAGACCCATAGACTCATATGGAGGTCCATGGACTTACAAAGAGACTGATATACTCATACAAAGACCCATAGACTTACACAGAGATCCATAGACTGACAAAGAGACCCATAGATTCACATAAAGACTAATAAAATCACACAGAAAGACCCATAGTCTCACACAGAGGCCCATTGACTCATATAGAGACCTATAAACCCACATACAGACCCATAGAATCACACAAAAAGACCCATAGACTCACTCAGAGTCGAATAGACACCGATAGACTCACAAAGACACCCATACTCTCGCAATTATACCCATATAATGATACAAATCTTCAATACTCAAATAGAGA